CTATCTTTTATTTAAAAAAAAGAAAAGATTTTCATTGACAGTTTGGAGTAATTTTTCTGCAGAGTTCATAGATTTTTTCTCCAATTGTTTAAATATTAAAATACATAATAAGAGTAGACCTGTCATTTATATCACCAAACATAAACATTTTGCTATGTTTTTTTCTTAAATATTTTATTTTGTCTTCTTGATTCCCTTTATATATTTAGTTGATATTCAGCTATATACGTACCAAACATAATACAAATACAAAAAAAAAGTAGGTAGGTAATTATTTATTTAAAAATAGTAAAATATAACAATACAAAAATATGACCCTATATTTAAAAAAATTGTATTATTATTATTAATATACACAAAATATTAAATACAATTGCTTTAAGTATAATTTTTTCATTAGATTTTATTACCAAAACTCAAAAATGTTTCCTGAATTTCAAATCAATATTGTACACTTTAAACAACTTTCAACAGCAATTATAATTAACAATAATTATTTTATATAAAAGTAAATATCAATTTAATATTACATATACAATTGTTTGTTATTAACAGACTTTTTCTTTCTTAATAAGTATATATTATTATCCTTAAAATAATCTTCTATTTCAGATAATTTCATTTCATGTGTCTCAGGAATAAACACCCACACAAAAAACACGGTTAGTATTGATATGAAACTATAGAACCACAAAATGCCCAACATTCCGCCCAATATTGTTTTAAGATCCTCATAAAAATGAACTGCAACAAACATAACTGCATTACACCATGCCATAATCGGTCCAATAAATAATCCTTTAACTTCAGTTGGAAACATTTCGCTGGGCAATATCCATGGAATCAGCATTATACCAACAGAGCCAGCCGAAATATACACTAACATACACAATAATGATGTCCATGTCATAATAATACTTTCATCACCTATCAAAATAAAATTAATATATTTAAATTAAAACTGAATAGATAAAAACTATAAACACTCTAGTAGTAAACATTTTAAATTGAGAACTGGATATTCAGCCACAATGACAGCACTCAACCATCAACATATTGTTTTTGTTTATTCAATTATAATAGTGAATTAGTGAAATAAATCTTAAACTATTTAAATTTTATTATTTAGTAGCTATTTATTTACAACTTGTCTAGTTAGTAATATTAATAACTAATAAGTATATAATAGAGTACAAACAACATTTCAGTTATTGTCTAAAATTTAAATAAAAAGCAAACGTCCTGWAATTTACAATTCATATTTCTCAAATGCCTACATACACATTAACATTATTAACTAAGSATATAATATTAGATTTAATAAAACAATTTAAATCAAATAATGAGTACTTGTTAGACATAGCTGAATATAAATACCTTTAGTTCTTAAAAAAAAGCACAATCCAGAAATAAACAAGGTAATTCCCATGATGATACTACTAATCATACATAGTGGACGTCTACCGTAACTATGCAACATTCCTGTAGCCACAAAACTTAATAAAAACCGAAACAAACCAAACAGTAAAGTGGCAAATTTGATGTCGATACCTTGAGCAACTTCCTTTAATATTATATAATGAACTATTAAAAAGTGTATT